GCTATGATATATATCCCATTACGACCAGCCTAACAAAGAAGGTGTACAGATCATTTCTGCGTCGCTTTGCGAGTTTTCACCCGTTTGTTCGACAAGCGAGGAGAAGTTTCAAACATTTAGGCCGCGAGGTGCGGTCACTATCGTAGGCCTAGTTGGTATTTTAATTACAGGAAATTCAAATGGAGTCCAGACATCATCAAAATTGATGTGTGACCATAGCGTGCTATCACAACCTCGTAAAAAAAATTGGTAAAGTTTGGCACAAGTTTTGATGATTGCTCCTTCGAAACCGGAGCATCTCACATGAAGAATCATGTTTTCCCAAAGGAGACATGTCAATTCAAACTCCTGTGGCCGGTGACTTCATCGTTTCGCCTCATAAATATTTCCATGGTACGCAATCACCATTATACCACGTGTTTTATTTTCTGGCGCATTACGAGTATCATTAGCTATATTTAAGACATTTTTTGAGTTTAACATGCATTTTGTGCATAAAAATAAAATTACAATCGAAACTGCATGTGCTGTCGAAAGGGATGAGGATCGCCGTTCGATCTGGGATCATCCAACGGTGCAGACGTACGATCCGTGGGGTTTGGATTCTGGCCAATCAGAACTCACGACTTAGATCGTGGGCGGGGTTTTGTCGGCACACGGCTTTCATCAATGAACCGTGTGCTATTCACAAACCAGATTGCATACATATTTTTGTTCACACATACTGTAGTGAGATCAATTGAGTGTGCTACCTCTATGATATAATAATAGTAGTAGTAGTAGTAATAATAATAATAATAATAATAATAATAATAATAATAATAATAATAATAATAATAATAATAATAACAGTTCATATTCATTGCCTGAGCTGACAGCATATCAAGGTCAACATATTAATGGTTCTTACATCAACAGAAAACCGGGCATAGCTCACAAATTCAGTACACGCGACAGTTCTAAATTGAACGAATTAAGTTGCAGGGTAGGCATAAAGACTAGTCTTACGAATTAATTCGCATGTACATGGGGGAACTAGGATCATTACATTGACCCCGAATGAACTTGGGTTTTCTGATGATTTTACGCTTCTCTGTTACATGGGTGCGTGATCCCTTGGCTGGCAACTCATCAAATTCATCGTACTCGTCCTCATTGGCAACATCGTCGACACCCAGTACCCTCCTCTTCCCATGCATCACTACATGGCAGTTCTTACGCAAAGGGTCTTCCGCAAAGAAAATCTGTGTAGCATCACTGGCAAGAATGAACGGGTCCGCGTGATATGCCATTGTTGTCCTGTTAACACAGGTCTTCCTGTAATCATCAACCTTTACTTGACCAAGAGGGATCCATGAGCACCTGAATAATGCCAGCTTAACTTTCACATAGTCAAGCTCCCAAATCTCTTTGATGGTTCCATAGTATACCCTTTTATTAGCTTCATCTACAGTCATGCATTCTATTCGAACAGAGCTGTTCTAATATGAGGTCTTCTCATCACGTTCATCAGTGTAGAACATGTATCCACTTATGTCATATGCTTGGTACGTCAACACCGTAGGTGATGGCTTTTGTGCCAACCACGTAGCAATGCCATCGATGGATCCTTGTGCTAAATGCTTCTTCAACCATTCGACATAGTTCTTAGTGTGCTCCTTCGTCTCCACATCTGATGAAGGCACCATTGGTAAGAAGCTTTGGCGTATCCCCACCAAGTGTTCTTCGGCATAAGCGCTGAGAACTGGGTTGTTAAGCAATACCGCCAAATGGGCTTTCTCTGCCAATTCTCTGGGTGCAACCATTTGTGTGCCAGCAAGGACCGGCTTACCTTTCAGTCTTCCCTCGTGGCAAGAGAGGGGCAAACCTACAGGTCGTTGTTTCATGTATTTGGTGCAAAACTCACCACCTCCTCCACGGAAATAACCTTGTAGGATGCTTGCCTCTGGATGGTTTCGGTTCCGACAAAAGCGCTTCAGTATTCCCATGAACCGCTCAAAGGGATACATGTTGCAAAGAAACACAGGACCACAATACTTTATCTCGTTGACAAGGTGCACAGTGAGATGGACCATGACATCAAAGAATGACGGTGGGAAAACATCTTTAGGTTGGACAATATTCTTGCAATATCATCTTGCATATGATCCAGCTCTTCAGGATCTACAACTTTCTGCCATAGTTGGTTGAAGAAATCACATAGCTCAATGAGTGTGTTCCTTATATCTTTGTCCATCAGATTCCTGATGGCCACCGGGAGGATTTGTGTCAACATTACTTGGCAATCATGTGACTTCAAGTGTCCCGACTTCATTTTACATGAGCTCACATCCACGAGACTTCTGATGTTTGCGGAGTAGGAAGAGGGTGTCTTAACTGACAACAAATAGGTGAAGAACTGTGTTGCTTCTTTTGTACTGAAATTGTAACTCTGGTGAGCTTTGATGAATTTGTCATCATCTTCTGCTTCACTCTTGCCTTTTGATTGATCAGCAAGCATATCGAGCCGTGAACCCTCACCATCCTTTCTTTTACCTTTAATCTTGAGCAAAGTACCAAGGATGCTTTCACATACATTCTTCACTATGTGCATGACATTGATGCAGTGACATACACGTAGAATCTCCCAGTAAGGTAATTTCCAGAACACCAATTTCTTCTTAAACACTTGACCGTTGGGTGTTTGTTTCACCATCAAAGCGTGATTCTTGCCAAGCACAACATTAATTTGTTTAGCCATGTTGTGGACCACCTCCCCATCATAGGGTCTTGGGCCCATTTCTACCTCTGCCGTACCATCAAATTCAGCTTTCATCTTTCGGTATGGGTGATTTTTCCGTAAGAACCTACGATGACGCAAATACACGGTTTTGCACGACTTGGGAAGTCTTCCGCTAGCTGTCCTATCCATGCATGTGACACACCCTACATCTCCCTTTGTTTTCTGCCCCGATGTGTTGCCTAATGCTGGCATATCTTGAATGGTGTGCACCAGGATCGCATGTAGATCGAAAGTCTCCTTTTTGTAAGCATCATAACATTTTACAGCAGGTGCATCTATCCACACTGTCAGCAATTCTTCTACTCGTAGCTGAAAGTAAATGTCAATGTCATTTCCAGGTTGCTTCGGGCCTTGGATAATCATTGACACCATAATGTATTTTTTCTTCATACACAACCAAAGAGCTAGCACATTCTGGCTTGTGTAGTGCTTCCTCCCTCTATATGCTACAGCTTGTGACCTCGGCACTCTGGCAGTGCCATGAGTACCATCTATTGCTGCAATGCAATCCTGAAATGGCATTATAATATGTTGTTAGTCTACTACAGAACAATGACATCATATCAAGGCATGAACTACAACAACATATCAAGTGCTCACCTTGAAGTAAGGATACCATCTCGGGCTAGTGCAAATCTTGGTAGGAGTCCGGCCAGTTGGTGACCTGATCATCTCTCCTCCGAGCTCCCCAACAACATACAACACTTGCTTGAAGTACCTGGAGATGGTCTTCCATTGATCTCGTGAAGGTGTTGTGTACAACCCTAAACCTTTGGTTATGACCAACAACATGGAGGAACATGGCGACTTGCTCTTCCACAGTGGTGTGGATGCTATCTTCTAGCAACCCCCTGCTCCTAAACGTCTGCACAAGCCTGGCGAAAGTGCTCTTTTCATTCGAAGCATCCACAGAGCCTCTGTGTCGTTGCAGTTGTAGATGTAATTCAGACTCGCTATCCTCTCTTGATACCGGATTAACATCGGACCATACCGGATACGAGGTCTCTCATTCCGACGAACAACTCTCTTATGGACAAACATGATCCAGGCCTGAACTAGAAGCTTCGCCCGTTCATCCACAACCTAAGCGACATCCATGATGCGGTCAGCGATGGCGCTATCAACCCTAAACGCGCCTATCGAATGACCTAACACATAATAGAGGAGGTGGAGGGGGGTAGCTTACGAACTTCGAGGTCGGGGGAGACATGGCGGAGACGAGGAGGGCTGGATGGAGACGAAGAAGAAAGGGAGAAGCAGCCGCCGCCGCCGAGGAGTGCGCCTGTCGCCTCTTGTCGCTGCAGGGGAGTGTCGCAGCCGCAAATCTTAATCGCCGTCGCCGTCCTAGCCGCAGATCTGAGTCATCGCAGCCACCGGTGCCAACAACAAAGGAGGGTTTATCCTACATCTACAAAGGTGAGCGAGGAAATGGGGTGGTGAGGGTATATTTTGCGGCACCCCGCCTTAGCCGATTTTCCCCTCCCTTCATCTCCGCCCGCATCCCCCCTGCACCGCGCCCTATACCGCGTCTTCGTTTTCCGCCCCACTTAGCCTGGCTAGCTGGAAACGACCGATTCGAGCGTTCCCAGCGAGCCAGGCTGAGGGGTGCTTTAAGGTCCGTGCAGATGCGAGCCAGGCCGGCCTGCAAGCAACCAAACGGCCCAATTTCATCTGGCTCGGGCCTGGTTGGGCTGTATGCAACCTACCAAACACGCCCTTATAGAAGTGACTAGCATGACAATCTCTGTTATAGAATGAGAATTCCTGAAGACCTGAACTTTCCTGAAAGTGGTTTTTTGGAGAGATGTTTTATGGTGGTGTCGCCCATTCGAATGAGCCTCCCGAGGAAATCTTTATTTGTGCCAGGGTACTCCTATATGGAACGTTAAGCCCCTATTAGGGTAAAAAACGTGAACAATTTCAATACTTTGAAGTTTCATGATTTAGAGGTAACAAATTGAAATTTGGCGAGGGTTCATGGTTTGCAAATTTGACCTTTTCGTTTCCTTATACGGAGGTTCGGATATTTGCAGGGAGCCGGACGCAAAAGAGCAAATTCTTGCACATCTCCCCTTCGTTCGCGTCATCACCCCCACCCGAACCCGTGTATACTCCTCTTCACTTCCCTGCCTCTGTCTCCCGCATCGCGATCAGTCATCTCCTCCCAGCCTCCCCCGCCTCGCCGGAGATCACGAGAGGCGGCGCCCCCATCCCCGCGATGGACGCCTCCTACCGCCGCTCAGGTGCGGGCGGTGGCGGCGGCTCAGCCCCCCGCACCGTCGAGGACATCTTCAAGGACTACCGCGCCCGCCGCAACGCCATCCACCGCGCCCTCACCCACGGTACGCGCCCCCCACTCCCTCCCCGCCTCCTAAACCCCAAACCTAGCCCTAATCCTTCTCCCTTCCTTCGCAGACGTCGAGGAGTTCTACGCGCAGTGCGATCCAGGTGAGGCCCCGACGCGATCTCTCCCCTCTCTGCTACAGTTTCGATTCAATTGGCTGCGAGCTGGCCTCCTCAGATCGCGATGTGCTTTCGTGTCCCGACAGAGAAGGAGAACCTGTGCCTGTACGGGTACGCTAACGAGGCGTGGGAGGTGGCGCTGCCCGCGGAGGAGGTGCCCACCGAGCTGCCGGAGCCGGCGCTCGGGATCAACTTTGCGCGCGACGGGATGAAGCGCAGCGACTGGCTCGCGCTCGTCGCCGTCCACTCCGATTCGTGGCTTGTCTCCGTAGCTTTCTACTATGCCGCGCGGCTCACCCGCAACGACCGGTATGATGCCCCCCTCTGTTCCTTTGGGTTTGACGAGTGATGCTTTTTTGCTGCAGTGCCAGTGTCACGCACTCATGTTAAGGTTCTAAATCCGGACAGTCTACGGAACTATTATTAGCTTATAAGAGGCAAGTCATGACTTTGTTGGTGTCCTGTATAGACAAGGGGATATATCTACAGGGCATCAAGGGACTTCTGGGGAACTTGTTGGGATTTGAGGTTAATGTTAGAATTTGCATGTTATGCACGTACCTGCGCCTGAACTGTACAATTTCGATACCTAAATTGCAATTTTTACAACCAAAAAAACTAATAACTAAAGCAACAGACTGTGAGCTCTTCTATTCAGCAGATGACATGGACGAAGTTGAGCACATGACATGGACCAAGTTAGCAAATGAATCTTAATCAGTCAGATTCTAACTTTATACTAATCATTCACAATCCACTTGATAGAAATTCAGAAATAAACTGACAGATTTTGTAAAAACGAATTACTGTACTAATTAACAGGCATATCCGTAGATCAGGTCATGTGTACAAAAGTGGAATCTGACTTGAATTGACCACTAGAAATATCATATTCTCTTGTTCTCTGATTTGTAGTCAGATTTCACTTTTTAGTCAGATTTGTAGTCTAACCTGACTGAAATTGACCACCACAGATCAGTAATGCAGTAAAGTCTGTTTTTTCTCTTGCCACGAACTAAAAAACAGAAATTGACCACTACAAAATCTCTTGTTCTCTACTCTAATTATTAATACAAACTCACGAACAAGCACGTCATGCACATCCACGCACAAGCACTAGATGTACACGAGCAGGAACAAAAAATCTTACCCTGACGGTTGGCTGTTTGGCGCGGTCATCGCCTCCACGACGTGGTCCTGCTCCTCGTCATGGTCTGCGCCTGCCTCGTTGCGCCTCTGCGCTGCCATACTCCTGGTCGTGCGCGCCGCCGCACGCTGCATCGTCGTGCTCCAACTCGCTGTCGCACATACAAACTGGTGGTTTGCTGCGTGCTTGGGAAAGCTGAGATGGAGGAGTCGGGGGGATCTATGGAGATGGAGCCGGCCAGCCTCTTGCCCACGGAGTTGGCTGCTGCAGTGCGGCACCACATGTGGATGGCAGCGCCGGCTATATCTAGGTCCGCAGGAGTAGAAGTCGAGGAGATGAGAAGATCCTTAATGAAGATTGACGAGTCGTTTACCGAGGAGACGAGAATGGGAAGGAGCGGTGGAGTAATTACTCAGTGGGGATTAGGATTTTTTTTGTTGATATTTTATTATAATAAATAAAAGCGGACAGGGTATACACTTACGGGCCGGGTTTGGATATATCCACGGGTATAAAATTATACCCATGCCCTATCCATGATTAATCGGGTCGGGTTCAGGCGTTGTCCATGGGTATAAGATTGTATCCAAACCCTGTCCATTCGGGTCGGTATCCACGGGTATCCATATCCGTGGATAAAATTGCCATCCTTAGTCTGAACAGTGATCTGCTGTCTGGTCTAGATTTAATTTTTGATTTCTCAAGTACCATTGTGATACTAAGTCTTCTCTACATGGCGTGTTTTTGGGCCTTCTTTAGTGGTTATCCTGTGATCTGCTGGAGAAAGAGATCTAGTCCAATCTATAATGGTTCTCTGCAACTCTGCATGCTCCATCTTAGTAATGAAAGAATAGTCAAGTGGAGAGAAATTATATGAACTCATGATGAGTAGTAGTAACCTCACCGAAATGAGGCAACTTTTTTTTCTTCTATATTGTAATCGTGATATCAAATTCCAAGCATGCCTAATATCAACAGAGGTTTCAGTTTTTGTGCATGAGTTTACTGTATCTAGTCTGTGCCGTGCCCACTGGTCACATGGAGGATGATGTGGTGTATAGGAAGTTATGTTTTTTTGTGGAAAAGGAAATCACATCCATGTATTCTTTCTGTCCCTCTATGGTTACCATGGCATTCTGCTTCCAAGCGCGTGCCTAGGTGTGTGTGTGTGTGTATTTTTTTTTACGCACGCGCTTGGAAGCAGAATGCCTAGCGCTTAATCGTGCTAGTGCTAGGCGTACGCCTAGCGGCTTAGGTGAGACAAGCACTAGGCAGAGACAGAACTAGGAATTTACGCCTAGTGCTTTTTCGAACCTTGATGGTTAGTATGGTGTTAACTTCTGAAGACGCATCTAAATAGAAAAAAGATCTTCTGAAGCCAAATGGAGGATGGTGTGGCGTATAGGAAGTTTTTTTTTTTTTTGTGTGTGGAAAGAAAATCACATCCATGTTTCTTTCTGCCCCTCTTGTGGTTGGCATGGCTAAATAAAAGCACGCCTAGGCATGTGCTTGAAATCAGAATGCCTAGTGCTTAGTCGTGCTAGTGCTAGGCGTGCGATTAGGTGAGACAGGCACTAGGAAGAGGCAAAACTAGGAATTAAAGCCTAGCGCTTTTTTGAACCTTGATGGTTAGTATGGTGGTAACTTTTGAAGATGCATCTAAATAAGAAAAAGAACTTCCTTCTGAAGGCAATAACAATTTCCACATGGTAACCTCTCTCTTCTGTGGAGAAGAATTATTCTGTTTGCTTTTGTGAAAATTTTATCTCCCTCAATATTGCCATAAAATGCTATTCTAGAGTTTTGAGGTTGTACCATGTATTTCCTCCAGAGATTTATTTATATCTTGCATAAATTATGTATAACATCCACTAAATATTACACTCACAAGAATCCATATTGAAACATGTATTTCCCATAGCTACAGATTTAAGAAGTTTTTGTGTCGCAAAAAGTCTAGATTTAAGATTGGACCATTATATGCAACCATACTGACGAGCCTGGTCCACTTGTTAGCCTATTGGCTTTGACCTACCCATAAACCCATGCAGAGGTTTGACCAAGGCTGCAAGGGGTTGGAGTTGTGCCTAGAGGGTTCAATCTTAAATCTGGAGTCATGTGTTATGAAAGCTTCTAGACCTTTTGCTAATTTGCTATGGGCTGGACCAATCTGGAATTTTGTGATAGTTTGTACAAAATGCTTGTGGTTTTGCAAAATTTAGTCTTCTCTCTTTGATGTCTGTCGCATTTGTGAGAATTTTTTCCATCTTAATGATCCTTAAAGATACGTTGTACTACTCAAGTCGTCTTCTCTACATTTTTTTTGTATATGTTTGGTGTTCTTACCCTGATCAAAGAAGAGTTTGAACTAAACAGATTAGCATTTGAGGGACTAAGGGTTCTCTTTTTAATACAGGACACACCATGGTTTTGGAAATACTTGCAGTATTAATACTACAATTTTTAGTGGTAGCGAAACCACTAATTAGCAAATACTACTAAGCTATCAAACAGGGCCTGACATTTATGAGTTCTTTATTGCAGTTGCTTCTAGTTTCCTGTAATTGCTTACCATGTAAGAATTTAGCACCTGTTGTTTGCCTCAATGTTAATTGAATTGCATAATGCCTGCTTTTCACCTTGTCATTATATTCCCATTTTGGGTGTCTGTGGTATGCAGATCTCTAAAGTTGTCCGGACCTATGTGCTCCGTGTTGGGACCATTTCTGTTTGTGTTTAACTGTCCTAATAATCTTAGATAGCTACATTTCTATACTCGCAGACGCTAAATTTTATTTTGTAATTGCTCCCTGATAAAACAATCGGCTGAATTTGTTCTTAAGAAAGTATAGTGTGGTATCAGATTGTAGCAACTGTGTTTGCTTGTTTTGCTAACATGAACTGTCTTAAACTGTGGGTTGACTATCTGTGTCCTTGGAATGCTTCTATATGGTATATATTTATGGATGATATATTGTTATTAGTTCGTCAAGTAAAAATCACTCGTATGCTAGTATTGATGATGGCCAGTATGCTTGTATTTTTTCATTTTGCATCACCATACATAGTAGTGGTACCGGTCATGGGTTCAAGTCCTGGAAACAGCCTCTTGCAGAAATGTAGGGAAAGGCTGCGTACAATAGACCCAAAGTGGTCGGACCCTTCCCCAGACCCTGCGCAAGCGGGAGCTACATGCACTGGGGCTGCCCCCCTTTTTATACATAGTAGTGGTACCCTTTGTCAAAGGATGCTATGCAAGAAATCTATTCCGTGTTTTTTGAAGTCTGAGATATGTAGAACTGGTTGAATATTTTGGTTTGGATTTTAAGAAGCTAAGTAAGAACAATTGGTGATGTGCTAAGTAAGAACAGTTGATTTCCTACAGGGAGCGAATCCTTATATTTCTTTTTGTCATTTGTTCCCTCAAAAACTCACAATTGAATAAATAATTGAGCACTTGGTAGTTTTCAATGTTTTGCTAGAACTTCTAGCTTTGGAATTTATTGGTGGGATAAGAGTTTTATTTAAGCAATATTCATTTTCCTAATTTTATGTGTATAGCTATGCAATCATGGACATCCTTGGTTTGAGCCCACCTTTGGATTTTATGAGGGATGCGCTTAGAGAAACTAGATTATGTGTGGGCCTAGTTGAACTATAGGGTCACAAATTTATCAGGATAATACTCCCTCCGTCCGGAAAAACTTGTCCCTCAAATTTGAGGGACAAGTTGAGTAATACGTATAGTTGCAAATAAATCTGACAAAATGGTCAAAGTAACAGTGAATGTAAATACAGAACAGATTCGCTGCCCTCTGTTATCATTTTATTTTGTTGCAAAGAGTAAGAGTTTGCGCTGTTATTATGTTATCTCATTATTTCACTTGGCAATTCAACAGGAAGCGTTTATTTGGAATGATGAATGATTTGCCAACCGTGTATGAAGTCATCTCAGGTATGAGACAATCGAAGGAGAGGGACAGATCAGGTGGTATTGACAACAGCGGTAGAAACAAGCTGCCATCAAAGGTAACAGGAAATTCTTTGCTGTTTTGATCTCTTCTTCTCTCTTATTTTAATTTTACTGTGTCTCCTCAGCATACAGTCGAGGCGCCGCCACCACCACGTGCAGAAAATAATGCCAGGGATGCCGATGAAGGCTACGATGAAGATGACGGCGACCACAGCGAGACCTTATGCGGAACATGTGGTGGCATATACAGCGCCGAGGAATTCTGGATTGGGTGCGACGTGTGCGAGAGGTGGTACCATGGCAAGTGCGTGAAGATAACTCCGGCGAAGGCGGAGAGCATAAAGCAGTACAAATGCCCAAGCTGCAGCTCCAAGAGACCTAGGCAGTAGCAGCGCCGCCTCCTTTTGGCGGGGGACGGCCCCCATGGATGGGGGCCTTGAAGCAGCAGCAGCAGCGGTTGAGACTTTTAGACTCCTTGTGCAAGGCTAACTACTACCGTCTTGCTATGTTTACTGTACCTTTCGTTTCAGGTTTACATATGGTGATGATGCTAATGCTTGTGAGGGAAGATGACACACATTTTCAAAGCCTTCTAACGTTTCCATGTCCTGAAGAGGAGTCAAAGGTGTATGTTGCCGGGAAGGGATAGTAGAATGATGAAAATATGTGTAACTTTTCATGGGAAGTTCATGTTCCAATAATCCGTGAGGTTTATTTATACTATTCTATCTATGTTAATATATGTATTATTAGTCTGTTCAGCTGTCATGTGAAACCTGTTGTGGAATAACAATTTTGGTTATCCTGAAAAACAAACAATAGCTGGTTTATCGATGCTGCATTCTTCAAGGAGCTGCTCTGCAACGCCGACTGACCGGCAGTATGGCTTAGAGCCAGCTCGTTTATACGGTGGTATATATAAAGTCGATCCATATTACTTGTTGATCCGTATTACTTGTCGCTTAAATGGAGTTATCTAGATGATGTATTTAAACATATTTCAGTGACATCCATTTGTGTTAGATAAATACGTATTTCATATTATATATACAAGCTCACTACTTATGTCAATGGCTCATCCTTTCAGCTCTTTTTTGACCTTTAGTATCTCCGTCTTCGTATCATAATCTCATCACCTATGTCAATGGCTCATCCTTTCAGCTCTTCTCTGGCCTTTAGTATCTCAGCAAAGAATGAGAGTTAATTATTTTTCAAGCATCCTTAGACCAAATCAGTTGTGCATTGGTTTACAAATCAGTAGTTATTTGGTAAAAACAAACCTATGGTTCTATTTGGTAGATAGTAAATAAACATTATTTTTTATGGCTAGTGCCTCTATAACCGTTAAATAATTGCAAGGTTGCAATACATATTTTCAGAACATGCAAATTGCAGACATTTTGGCACTGCATCTGGTTATCCATCCGAGTTGTGCTCAACACCATGCCATCCATACGGACATGGTCGAACATGTATCATTTGCATCTGGTTATCCGGCCGAGTTATGCTCAATACCATGCCATCCATACAGACATGGTCGAACATGTATCATGTGTCAAGCCGAGGGAATATGCAACAAAGGGTTCATGAGCACGCACAATGGTACTCCTGCAAATTAACATCAAGAACATTATTGTAGTTGAGTTATAGCTACAACAATAGGAGCTAATTGAAACAATACTGAACATGGCTAGCAAGTATCCACTCACTCAAGGGCGGAGCCAGGATAAAAACCGAGAGGGGGCAAAGAGGTATACGATTTTTTTTTCAAAAACATATATACGAACTAATAGGTGGATGATTTAAAAAAACAACCACACAAGCATATATATAGTGTGTAAGAAGCAAAATCGTATACTTGCTTATATAAGAATGTCATCACACACGTAACTATGACAAGTTCATTGCCAAATGAAAGTAAACTAACCACTTAAGGAAGAATAACTTGAGAAATATGAATATGTTGTTCCTTTTCTTGGTACATCCTTGATTTTAGCCTTCAAGCTGTAGGAAAAATAAAATCATGTTTAAATATAAAGAGAATGTAAACATTGACAGATAAAAATATAAGCCTGAGCACATTACCGAGTAAGCTTGTTAATTCAGATCGATTATTTCAATGCCAGTTGTGGATTTTGTAAAGAATCTCTCCATTAACTTTCCTGTAGATGTCAAATAGTTAAACAATAAATACATTGACTTACATGAAGGCACAATATTAATACAGTATATAGATTTTATTCTACTCCGACAGCCACATGCTTAAACTTATTCCTACAAAATTGTTACATGAAGCTAGGTTCAATCAACCTAACTACCAGTTTGTACCTTTAAACGTGGAACCATGATAGACTGATAATAGGAAAATTAGAAAGGAATAGATCAGAACTGAACCTAGGGCTTGATAAGTGGCGCGCTTGTTTTTCCCTTAGGAACGGCGACACGGCCGGCCAGCCAGACGGCCGGCGTGCACGGTACATATCGAGGCTTATCATCGGAGGGGCAGCCGGCGGCGCATAAGGCTACGCAGTTTAGAGCCAGGCGGCGGCGGGGGTGAGGAGAGAAGTAGATTAGTCAGGACGTGCGTACGTGCACATTTTCTTCTTTTCTTTGAGAGAGGAACACCGAACGCATGTGCATGTTGTATTCTCTCAGATGGGCTGCTCCGTTGCTGCCTTCTCTCACATGGATATATGGGCTGAGCGGGGGCAAATCTCCTGACCTGAGCGGGGGCAATGTTCTATATCCCAGGCCGTGTATAAGTGGGCCGAAAAATCAAGTCCCCCACGACTCTCAACGTAGATTCGCCCCTGCACTCACTGATGAAATACTGGTCCAGGTCTGCAGGAAGACCAAAATATAGGTAACTAGGAGATTGTGAACTCATCCTCAAAAAAAAAAAAGGAGATTGTGAACTCAGCCAAAAAATAGCATCATAAGGGTTTTCTTTTTTCTTTTCATTGACATCCACCCCGTCCCCCGTGTCCCTCTCTGAGGCGACTCGGGGGAACCCTAGCTCCCTCCGCCACGGGCCCTCAAACACCCTCCCTCCTCCCTCGCCGCCGCCGAGGGACATAGTCGGGCAAAGCCCAGGCAGTGCCGGCGGCGGCGGGGCCTCTCCCTGGCGTGTCTCTCTCTCTCCTGGCGGCGGCGCGAGTTCTTCCGGCAGCGGCTTGGCGGCGTGGCGCTGCGGAGCTCCGACGATGACTCGGTCCTACGGCAGGGTGGAGGGCAGGGCACCGTCCAGTGCTGCTGCCTCCGCGGCGGCTACGGCTTGGGGCCCTTGACCCCGATCCGATCTGGATCTGGTGGTGCTTGGGTCTGGGCCATGGCGGCTGGCGAGGCGTGGTGTTCGTCGGGGCTTGTCGGGCTCTAGGCACCATGGGGGTGCCGGCGGCGACGCGTGCCCGGCATGGTGACGCTGGTGGACGTGGTGGTCATCTTCTTCCAGAGATGGCCGGCCAGAGGTTTGGTGATCGGATCTCGAGATCCATCATCTTGTCCCGACTGCGAGTAGGGAGACATGGTTGCCGGTGAAAACCGAGCCGACGGCAGGCGATGGCGGCGGTCTCGCCGTTACCTTGATGGAAGCATCGTCATGTAACTACTGTCGACCTACTCGTGCTGCTCTGGGGGAAACCCTAGGATCTGGTGTTCCAGATCGGACGATGGCGGCACTGCGGTGTCGTTTCTCTCTTGGGAGCATCGTTTGCGGAGCAGCGCTGGAAGTCAGAAGCAGGAGGTGGAGCGGCTTCGTCTTGCACGGAGCTTCGGTGGAGATGTCAAGTCATGCCTAACTGACAGGTGCTACGCTTTGTCATGCCTGGTCGGCAGGTGCTACGCACGACAAATCTTCCAAGGACTTCAAGCTGTGTCGGCTGATGGTACTTGGCAGCATGGCGCTGAGGTGTATCAGTGGCGACCGCGACATGCTCAGCTGTTTGCGTGCAGGGAGAAGGTGTCGTTGGGCGCCGTGGTGGCGTCGACGATAGCTAGACCGAGCAAGGTTGATGCATCAGTACAGTTCTGAAGATGGAGCGGTGGCAGTTGGCGGCGGCGGCCTCTGAGAGCACACCGGACCAGTGTGTGCTCCAGACCCGGCAAGTGGCTAGGTTTGGGTCTCAGGTCTTAGATGTTAGGCTTGGCTGCGATGTCTGTTTGGTATTAGGCTCAAGCTATCTACGCCCCTTCATCAACTGGATAGGTGTAGCGACAGTTTGTTACTTAGACGGCAGCTTTAGTTTTACTGTTGTATGACTTTGTATGGTCTTGTAAGAATAATTGCATGAGGCATCACCAAATGATCTGCTGCATGGACAATTCACGTTTACTATTGCTTTTTATTCCATTAATATATATGAACAACGGTTCGGAACAAATGAGCGAAGGGCCGCATTACCTAAGAGCAACTTCAATAGGGCGATCCATTTCGTCCGCCCCCGTTCATTTGGGTTGGCGCGGGCAAAAGTGGTGGCCCAATGCACCGACCCAAATTCAAATCACGTCCGCTTCGCGTTCGCGCCGACGCATTTACGACCCAAATTTGCACCCCAAATGCGTCGGCGCGGACGCCGAACGAACGCCGCGCTCCTTCTCGCTGTCCGCCGTGGACCCACCCGGCGGTCGTCCAGCTACCCGCTGCCCACGTGGTCAGCTTAATTTATGACCATGGGCCCACGCGTCAGTGACGGCGGTCGCCCCTTTTTAAGCCAACCGCGCGGCGGGGCCGTCCTCATCCTAACTCGACGTCCACATCTAGGCAAGCTCGCTCCCCCGTCACCGGCAAACCCTAGCCAAATGGGGCTCTTCTCTGGCGCCGGCAGCAGTAGCAAGGCCAAGGGCAAGGCCCCCGTCGTCCTTTCCCCTCCGAGTTCCTACCGCCTCCGCCGGCGCCGGCTCGCTGGCAGAGGGTGCACGTGAACGTGCCAGTGCACCAGGCAGAGTGGCACTGGCAGCACCGCGTGCCTCTGCCGTACCCCGACGTCACCCTTCCGCACGACTGGCATCTGGATCCAGAGAGGATCCCAGTGCCGGCGGCGCCGCGGTCGGCTAGGGCGCACGCGGAGGAGGTGCGGTGCCGGCGGGTGTTGCTAACGCCGGAGCAGCGCCGCGACGCCACCTACGGCACCGACTCGCCGAACTGGAAGAGGTGGTTCGCCTTCGAGCATGAGGAGGCGAGGCGACGCGGCACGCGAGAGGTCGACCGCAGCGTGCCGTCGCCCCCACTCGTAGTCCGCGAGGAGGACCAGGCAGCGGAGGACGCCTACCAGGCGGCCCTTGCGGCGGTCTATCGCAAGAGCGAGGAGGACGAGCGGCACAGGGTGGAGGCGGTGGAGGAAGAGGAGGCTCGCTACGAGGCGGACATGGCGCAGGCCCTTGCCCTCTCCGC